GCCTTGGCGGCCGTCTGGGGGAATGTTATTCCGCTACCTGCTGCACTGTCTGCTCTACAATATGACGTACCACCTGCGTGCCTTGCCTGCTCCGCTCCTCAAGGTACGTACGGACACGTGTGGTATGCCTGTTCTAAGTTCATCACTGACGACGGCATTGACGCGCTGGGTGACGAGGTTCCTGAGGCCTTAGCTAAGCATAGGCGTGTTCTGATTGAGTCTCGGGCCTCTATCACTGGGGAGCCCGATGTGCACTCTAATTATTTAACTTATGGTATCCCACCTCTGCCCACTAATATTCCCGCTCCGCTTGCCAACCCCCCCATTTTCGAGTTCGGGGACGTCTCAGGGCCTTGGGGCCCTCTGTCTTTCACTGACGGCAGTTGTTTTCACTCTGGGGTCCCAGAGGTCTCCAGAGCTGGTTGGAGCGTTGTGCAGTTGTTCGATTGTCTGCTTCCGTTGAGGGCAGTATATGGTGCGCTTCCAGGGGAGCGTCAGACCATAGGTCGTGCTGAAAGGTGGGCAGTGCGGCAGGGTCTAGCTTATCACCCCCAGCATCAGTGTATTGTGTCGGACCTCCAGGCTGTAGTACGCGAAGGCAATTCGTGGAGCCTGCATCTGTCTCAAGGCATGTCCAAGCATGCGTCGATCTGGAGGTCCATTTTCGACTTGAAGTCTAATCACCCCCAGTTCTCGTGGTTCCCTGCCCATCTGAGTTTTGACGACGTTTTGGAGCGGGGGCTGTGCATCAAAAGTTGGGCTGGGAACCTGTGGGCTGATTTTTTCGCCAAACTAGGGGCCAGCTCTCACACGCTTGCTGAAGGTTTCTGTGCAGCGGTTTCAGGACAGTTAAAATATCATAGGTCCACGGTGCGGTTTATCGCGTGGGCTGCTCAGCGTTTGCTCGAGTCAGGCACGTGGACTCACCTCGACCCCGAGCGTCCTCTCCGCCTCCTGAGAGCCCCCGCCCCTCCCAAGGTCACGGTCACCAGCCATGTTTTGTTTCGCTGCGAGGCCACCAGCACTTACAAGTGCAGGAGCTGTGGCCGCGTAGCTCGCACTCCAGAGTCGCTCAAGACCCTGCTCACAAGCAGGGACTACAGTGTTTGCTCTCCGTCATCGACCCAGCGACACGTGTGCGACCAGTGGTTTCGTGAGTTTGGGGCGGCTTTTAGGCCCGTGCAGCTTGAAGCGGTGAGGGTTGCTCTGGCCGCCGCTGACGAGGCTCAGCGTGTGTGCAATGATGAAGTCCAAGGTCCCCCGACTCCTGTGGCCACTCCTGAGCCGTCAGATGAGTTCTCTGTTTTTCGGGACCTTGGGCACGACGTGTTCCGTCATCTGCAAGTGTACTGCTGTAAATTGTGCGGGGCTCACGGATCTCTTGGCTCGCTGCGAAACCTCACGCAGCGTTGTAAAGGGAGGTCCAAAGTCCCGAGCACGGCCGCCAACCAGAGAATGTCGATCAGACGTCTGGAGCGCGGGTGTCACCCTAGAACGGGCGTGAAGATTCTTGGGGCTGCCGAGTGCGGAGTTGACCGTGCGGAGGAGCCCCACAGTGCTGATAGTGCAAGGCCGCTGGAAGCGGCCAGTGCTCCCGAACCCGTTCCCGATGGAGCGAGTTCTGGGTCGTCTGATTAAACTCGTTTTGTTTTTCCTGGGCCGCCCTTGTAGTCTGTCGCCCGTCGTCCCCTCCCCCGCCGCATACGTGTGCCTCTACCTGGCGCCCACGGTGTCGGGGAAGCAGGTGCACGACGTGGCCAGGCAGGCGGGGCGGCCCGCCCGCTCGGCCCACGCTTTGGCGTGCGCTGGGCGCTGATCGAACCGGACCACCAGCTCGAGGCTTGCCTCTTGCTGGTGGCGTGCGGTCCGCCCGCGCGCGCTTCTCGTCTTCCTCCTCTTCCCCTCCTCGTCCTCCTCCTCCTCCTCCTTTTCTTCCCCTCCTCCTCCTCTTTCTCCTCCTCCTGCTCTTCCTCCTCCTCCTCCTCCTCGTATCCCTTCTAGTACTAGCTCTCCTCTCTCTCCTGTCCTTCCTCCCCATTTCCTCACCCCCTATGCTCCTCCACTTCCTCCTCCTCCTCCTCCTCCTCCTCCTCCTTGTCCTCCTCCTCTTCCTCTTCCTCCTCCTCCTCCTCCTCCTCCTCCTCCTCCTCCTCCTCCCCCTCCTTCCTCCCCAGCTCCCTCTCTTCTCCTCCTGCTCCTGCTCCTCCTGCTCCTCCTGCTCCTCCTCCGCATCCCCCCTTGCTCCTCGATCTCTTTCTCCTCTGATTTGTCCTCCCCCTCCTGCTCACTCCCCCTCCTGCCCCACTTTCCCGCAGCCCTGTTCCACATGTCCATGAACAACTCCCTTCTGGCACCCGAGCAGCCGCCGCCAGAAGCCTTTGCCACCCCGCCACCCCGCCAATGTCACCCCGCCAGAAGCCAAGCCAAGACCGAGCAAAGTGCACACGGCGGCAATATGGCCAGCCTTCACTTCGCACTGGCTTTTGACATGTCAAGACGGGGGGCGGCCTTATTGTCCGCTGTGTCGCCGGACATGCACATCCAAAAGCAATGCTACGCCGTGCTCCTTCCCCACCTCCTTGCCCTCGCCTCTTCCTCCTCCTCCTCCTCCTCTCCCCTTCCTCCTCCTCCTCCTCCTCCTCCTCCTCCTCCTCCTCCTCCTCCTCCTCCGTAAGCCTCCTAGATGGAGTCCGAGTGGATGGGGTCGGAGGATCGCGCTGCATCGTGAATGCATCGGCGACGTCGGCGATGCGCGCCGTTGCGCGTGGAGAAAATTGGGCTCTCGATCGAGCCGCATCTGCGATACGTCGGGGATGCATCGGCAATGCGGCGCGATCCCCCGACCACATCTACTCGGACCCCATCTGGAACTGGAAGGCCTTGAACCTCCTCCGCCAGATATGCAAATGCCAGAAAACAGTGCTACGCCGTCCTCCTTCCCCACCTCACCGCCCTCGCCTCCTCCTCCTCCTCTCCTCCTCCTCTTCCTCCTCTCCTCCTTCCTCCTCCTCTCCTCCTCTCCTCCTCCCTCCTCTCCTTCCTCCTCCTCCTCCTCTCTCCTCCTCCTCCTCCTCCTCCTCCTCCTCCTCCCTCCTCCTCCACTCCTCCTCCTCCTCCTCCTCCCCCTCCCCCTCCCCCTCCTCCTCCTGGACAGAAGCGCGGCGGCGCCTCGGCGAGCTCCGCCGCTGCAGCAGCGCCCTGCGCGCCCAGCTCGCGGTGCCCAAAGCGCCGGCCGCTTGGCCGCGGAAGCTGCATGCACCGCACCCACTCGGTGCCTCGGAGGCCACGTTGGGAGGCAACTGCTGGGAAGTGCCCGTCGGAAGGATTAGGCAGAGTTGAGCCCCCATAGGGGGGCTGCTACGCCAGAGTAGGCCGCCAATTGAGCGGGATTCACCGGGATGAAGCGGGATTAAGCCAGATTTCGGGCCAGGGCAAAGTCAGAATCCGACCTCCCAGGAGTTACATCCGAAGCCACGGGGCAGGGGATGCGGACGAATGGGGAGAGCGAGAAGAGAGGTAATACCCCTTAGCGTCTTCACCCCTAGGTCCCAAAAACGACGACGCCGACGACGATGACGCCGACGACGAAGACGCCGACGCCCGGGGATGCGGACGAATGGGGAGAGCGAACAAAAGATAAGGCCGCAGCAGAGGCATGCCCCGAGGAAGTTCCCGCCGATTGCAAAGGGAGAAAAGGCTCGTCCACCCGGGGCACGTGTGCCAATAGACCTGGTCCCGCGTGTCGACTCTCAAGAGAGCGTGTTGTGCTTCTAATGGCAAGCGCAAGCCTCTTTGGATAGTACGAACTTGTTTCCGGTGGCCGTATCTCGACTCACAGGTGTATGTAGGCAGGGTCAGATGATAGTCAGAGGACTTTTGGGTCGGGTGCTACTCGTTGCGCCCGAGGGTGGCGCCATGGGTTGCGCCATATATTCTGCACGAGGGCCCAGAGGCTAGTGGGTGCGATATAGGTTGCGCCAGCGGATGGCGCTACAGCTTGAGAACTGCTGCAACGGTAGATTGGGGAGCCATAAACTGCGCCCACGACTTGTGCATGGGAGGGAGGCAGAAATTATCCGGGCGTGCCCGTGGGTTGTGCACGTGAATTGACCGATGGGCTTGGCAGTGGTGCCCATGTGCTCTTGGATGTCATGGGCTGCCCCCATAGGTGGCACCAAACGTTGCGCTCACAGGTTGCGCATTCTTGCCCGATGGTGTCGGGGTGCATGCCACACATTGCGTCTGGTGGTGGTGCCACAAGTCGCTCCCGTAACTACTTGGGCTGTACGATGGTCTGCGCATCAATGCAGTGCCCAGAACCTGTTTGGGCGCCGTAAGCTGCGCCATTCATCATGTACATTGTTAAAGGGAAATTAGGACACACAAATAAATACACACAAATAAAAATAGTCCCCATATTTTCCCATATTTTCTGGGTTTTTATCTTCCCCCCCCAATTCCCATATTTTCCCATATTTTCCTGGGAATCGAGGATTAATTGTGTCTGTGTGTTTTTTTCCCTCCTGAATTGTTTGCTTTGGCTTGAACTGGCTTGCGTTGTGCTGCATCGATTGCACACACTCGCTGCCTCGATGGCTCTCATTCGCTGCGATGGGAAGAATGGCAGGGGGGCGCAGAGGAGAGTGGACAACTGCAACTTGCGACCGGACCGGCCTACACGGGGTTCCCGAGGTCACACTGCATCGCCGATGCTTGGCGGCGCGCACAAGGGGGTGGGGGGAGGGGGGTGGGCTTCTTAGAAGCAGGCTGCTTCTTAGGAGGCGCCGGCCTTACATCTCTAGATAAGGCCCGCGCCTTCTAAGAAGCAGGGGTGTTTCTAAGAAGCCCTCCCCCCTCCCCCCAGCCCCCTCTGCGCGTGGCTGAGATGCTGCGATGACTCATCGGAGATGCGGCGCTTCCCGAACAGGAGCGACGAGGGGCTCCAGACCCCACGCGCGTCGCCGGTGCCACAGCGATGCGGTGCGATCTGAGGACCCTATCCGCCGTGCGCTCTAGCTCCGCTCTGCGGCGCCTCCGCGCACGCCCTCGGACGTCGCGAGGGGCACAGCTCCTTTCCTGCAGCAGGTCCTGGGCTGCGCGCGCGGCCAGGGAGGCGGAGGCGGCGGGCCTCAGAGGAGGAGGAGGCTGGGGAGGCGCCCCCGCCCGCGCCGCGTCGCGGGCGCCGCCGAGGAGGGCCACCACCTGGTCGTGCCCGTTCTCGGCCGCGATGGCGAGGGGCGTGGTGCCATCCTCCAGCGGCACATCGGTGCACGCGCGCGCGCCGAGCAGCAGGCGCACGGCCGCCGCGTGGCCGTTCTGGGAGGCCACGAACAGCGGCGTGGCCCCAGACAGCAGGGGCCCATCCACGCCAGCCCGCGAGCGCAGCAGCGCTCCCAACACGTCCGCGCAGCCCTCCTGGCTCGCCACGAAGACTGGCGTCGCGCCGTCAACCGCGGCGGCCGCCGCATCCGCGCGGGCCGCCAGCAGCGCCCGGGCGGCGCCGCCGAGGCCTTCGCGCGCGGCCGCGAACAGGGGCGTCCTGCCGTGCACGTCCTGCGCGTCCAGGCAGCGCTGCGCGGCGGGCAGGGGCCCGAGCGCACGGCAGAGCGCCTCGGCCGCCACCGAGTGGCCATGGTTGCAGGCCACGAAGATGGGCGTCTCGCCGTCGTCCGTGGTCGAATTCAGGTCGGCCCCGGCGCCGCAGAGGAGCTGGATCACGGCCTGGTGCCCGACCTCGCAGGCGACGTGGAGGGGGCCCCAGCCCTCCGACGCCTGCTTCTCCGCGTCCGCCCGCAGCTCGCACAGCAGGGCCACGGCGCGCGCGTGGCCGTTCTGCGCCGCGACGAAGAGCGGCGTGGCCCCCCCGTGCGTGGCCGCGTCCAAGTAGGCGCGCCCGCCCGCGCCCGCCGCGCACAGGAGCCGCGCGACCTCCACGAAGCCGTGCCGGCACGCCATGAACAGGGGCGTCCTGCCGTCGAGGTCAGGCGCGTCCCCGCGGGCCCCGGCCCCGAGGAGCGCCCGCACCGCCCCGGCGTGCCCGGCGTGGGCGGCCAGGTACAGCGCCGTGGCCCCGTCGCCCCTCGCCGCGCCCGCGTGCGCCCCCGCCCCGCACAGCGCGCGCACGAGCGCCTCGTGCCCGCACTGCGCGGCCAGCAGCAGGGGCGTGCTCCCGTCCGCGAGGGCGTCCTCGCACGGTTTCCCCCGGGGCTATAGGCGACCCGAGGAGGAGGAGGAGGAGGAGGAGGAGGGGAGGGGAGGAAGGACGGAGCATGGAGGAAGAAAGGGAGGGAGGAGAGGAGGATGGGGAGGCGAAGGAGGAGGATGGAGGAGGAGGGGTAGGAGGAGGTGGCGGAGGGGGAGGGGTAGGGAGGGGAGGGGAAGGTGGAGGAGGAGGAGGAGGAGGAGGAGGAGGATGAGAAGGAGAAGCGAGGAGGAGGAGGAGGAGGAGGAGGAGGAGGAGGAGGAGGAGGAGGAGGGAAGGTAGTAGTAGTAGGACGAGTACGAGGAGGAGGAGGAGGAGGGGGTGGAGAAGGAGGAGGGATGAGGAGGAGGAGGAGGAGGAGGAGGAGGAGAAGGAGGAGGAGGAGGAGGAGGACGGGTCGCCTAAGCCCTTCGGAGAACCCTCCACGCGTCCTCCGTGGGCGCCCCGGCCTCGCACAACACCCGCGCGGCCGCGAGGTGCCCCGCCCGGCAGGCCGCCAGCAGGGGCGTCGTGCCCAGGCCTGCGGGCCTGCCCGCCTCCGCGCCGGCCTGGAGGAGCAGCCCCACCAGCGCGGCGTGCCCCGCCTCCGCGGCGGCCAGGACCGGCGTCCCGCCTCGCGAGCGCCGGTTCACGTCCGCTCGCGCCTCGCACAGCAGCCGCCCCACCTCGGAGCACCGCTGCACCGAGCTGGGCCCCCACTGGCGTGGCCTGGGCCTCACCGGCATGTTTACCCCCCCGCCTAGATACAGTCGGGCCGCCGAAAGAAGGAACGCTGAATACGGAACGAAGCCCCTTGTTGGCCCTGTAAGCGCCCCCGTGCCCCAGGAGGGCAAGCGGAACAGCACTGGAGGAACCTGAGGAACATCGAGCCCCTTCCGAACCCAAACTGCTCCTGATTTCGGCGTCTTGACTGCAGGGCGTCCAGGCTGCTCCCTCCAGGCTTCGAGGGCCTTCGTGCGCCCCACCGGGTGTGGTGGGACGGTGGGGCTGAGATGCCCTGGCCCAGGTGGGGATGGGGACGTAGGCGGAACGCTGAACCAGGGGCCGCGGCCGACTCCCGGCACGCCACCGCGGAGATCGAGGAAGGGAACGAGGAGCAAGGAAGAGGAGGAGGAGGAGGAGGAGAAGGAGGAGGAGGAGGAAAGGAGGAAAGGAGGAGGAGGAGGAGGAGGAGGAGGAAGAGGATGGAGGGCCGGCGGGCCGAAGCACAGCAAGGGACATGTCGACCCCTGGACAAGGCTTCGTGGGGCTTCCCGTTGGGGCCAACCACTTGGGGGGCTCGACCCTGGGAGGACGACATGCGATGGGAGGTGGGGGGGGGGGGCACCCAGCCTCGCCAGCGGTGCGTCCGACTGGCCCCCTTGGGGGGTGCATCCCAAAGCTTTCCCCCCCCCCTCGCTGAGCTTCAAGCGGGACTCGGGGAGCGGGGGAGAACGCTCGCCTGCGAACGCAGGCGGGCGGGCAGGCGGGACGGGACAGAAGGATGCACAGGGAGCCGCCACGCGACACGGATCACCTTTGACCAAGGACCGACCGTCCTGGCATTCCAATAGGCCTACCACGGAGTGTTCTTCGAACCCAAACATTTTTATACAACAGAAACAGTGTTCTTGGAACGCAGACCCGATGTGCTAAAACACGACAGCCCCAGCCAGTAAGGTTCTGAGACGATGACATCGAAACCACGAACAGTCCTTCGAACACTGTTTGGTGGGCCTATAGGCGCGCCAGGACGCTTCGCCACTGCTTGTGAGCATCGTTTAACCGATCCCCATCCCCAGCGGCGTGGCATGGGCCCCACTGGCCGATTTGCCCCCCTGGATGGGGATACAGGTCGTCCCCTTCGGGCCTCGAGGGGTGTATCCCCAACTGGCTGGGGTGGCAATTTAGTGGGGGTCTCGAAGGGGATGGGGATGGGGGATCGATCAAACGATACCGAGCTCGACACCTCTCCGAGGCCCCAGCGGGACGCGTGGAGCAGCGGGCTCTGGCCGCCCCAAACCTCCGCGCCGTCCGGGTGGACGGGCCTGCTCAGCGCCCCCTCGACCGCGCGCGCGTCGCCTGCTCGGCGACCCCGGAGGGTGCGGTCTGCCGAGGCGGGGGTCTGCAACCGGCGCCTGGGGCGATGGGCCTGTCTGCCACCGCCACCACCGCAATCAGCTGGAGGGGGGGAGGAGGAGGAGGAGAGGAGGAGGAGGAGGAGGAGGAGGAGGAGGAGGAGGAGGAGGAGGAGGAGGAGGAGGAGGAGGAGGAGGAGGAGGAGGAGGAGGAGGGAGGGGAGGAGGGGAGGAGGAGGAGGAGGAGGAGGAGGAGGAGGGGGAGGAGGGGAGGAGGAGGAGAGGAGGGGAGGAGGAGGAGGAGGGGGAGGAGGAGGAGGGGGAGGAGGAGGAGGAGGAGGAGGAGCCCCTTCCCCCTCCAGCCTGGCGGACAACGGGCCCCATCGTGGGGGGCGGGCGGGGGCTCTCGACGGGCACCTCTCTGCCGCGGCCCGAGGAGGGCCCCTGTCGCACCCTTGGCGCAGCGCGGTGGCCCCCTTTAATCTGACGGGGCCCCAGGACACACAAATTCGCCGGCCCAACGGGCCAGAGGCGTGCTAAGATCTCCGGTAACTTGTTAACAATATTTCTAGTTCGCGCGCGCGGAGCGGCCCCTGGGGGCCCCCGGACGAAAAGTACCCCGGCAAGGTCCCGAGAGAAGCCCGGGAGAAGCCACCAGACCACTCCAGGGGAGGGTATTTTTCGACACCCCTCACGAGGATCGTGGCCTCCGAGGGGGGAGCCGCAATCGACTACCCCCAAGAGCCCCCCAAGAGGCCCTGGGGGCCTCCAAAACGCCGCCAAGGAGCCCCAAGAGACTCCCAAGAGGTCCCCAAGAGGCCCCCAAGAGGCCCTAAAGAGGGCTCCAGGGCCGGCGGCATGAGCGAAGCGATTAAATAAACACACACACAAATAAACAGATTCCCCATATTTTCCCAATACTTTCTGGGTTTTTGTCTTCCCCCCCACTTCCCATATCTTCCCATATTCTTTTTTTGAGAATCGGCATGAATTGTGCCTGTGTTATTTTCTCTCTTGACAATCGGCGGTGGACAAACCTCCCTGTAGTAACTCCGTTCAGTGAAAGCGGCCCAGGGCCGAAACCGACGGACCCGGACCCGCAAAAACGGCGGCCGCGACGCCCTCTCGCGAACCGACAGCGGCCAACAGCTCGCTAATCGACGCGTCGGGGTAGGAGGCCTGCCCACCCCCGATAATCCAGGAGCGGCCGAAGAGGGCGGCGTCCAAGAGAGGGGGGGGTGCAACTCATGACCGGCGGCACGTGCGCGGCCCCGCGGGGGGGCCCAGGAGGAGGAGGCAGTAGTAGGAGGACGAGTACGAGGAGGAGGAGGAGGGGGAGGAGGAGGAGGAGGAGGAGGAGGAGGAGGAGGAGGAGGAGGAGGAGGAGGAGGAGGAGGACGGGTCGCATACGGCAGGTTCGTGTCGTGCCAACCCCAGCGTTGGTTTTTGACACCGCAGGGATCGTTCAACCTTGAACGATCGGCCGCTGCCGCAACGTCCGATCGTTCAACATCGATCGATTCTGGGTCGCCGGCGGCGTTCAACCTTGAACGCCCGCGCTGGGGTCGCCGCTGGTCGACACGACCCAAACCTACCGTAATGAAGCAAGAAGAGGCGCCATGACATCTGGGGAAATATGATGGCCCCGCCAGGATACCCCCGCCCCTGGTCCTCACCCACCTCTTTGCCGCCCCCGAGATATAATCAAGAGCCGGGACGGGCGAAAGGGGGGGATAGCAAAGGGGGGGGTTTGAGAATCAGCGCACGTAACTGATTTTCCCGGCGCCCCCCGGCGTCGGAGGCTGCCCTGTATCGAGGAATGGGCCCCTCGGTGGGGCCGAAACCAGCTGCACGCAGCAGATTTCGTAACAGCCCCCCTTTCCCTATCCCCCCCTTTCGTCCGGCCCGATCAACCTCCGATCTCATCGCCAACGCGCAAGGAGCGAGCCCCTGGCATTAAGTCGGGCGTGTCCCCCTACAGGGAGATTTTCGACGAAAAATAAAAATTCCCCGAAAGATAATCTAAACATAGTCCCAAAATAGTCTGGGGACTCTTTTTTTAAACATTTTCTGACCATTTTGGGGCATTTTGGGGGTGTGTCTTATTTTTCGTCGAAAATCCCCCTGCAGGGGGACGCGTCCGGGGGACTATGTCTTAAATAATGTTTTGGCCTTTTTGGGGGGCATTTTTGAAGTTTTTCGTCGAAAGTCCCCCTGTAGGGGGACGCGTCCGGGGGACTATGTCTTAAATTATGGTTTGGCCTTTTTGGAGGCATTTTTGAAGTTTCTCGTCGAAAATCCCCCTGTAGGGGGACGCGTCCGGGGGACTATGTCTTAAATTATGGTTTGGCTTTTTCTGGGGGCACTCTTGAAGTATGTTTCATTTTTCGTCGAACATCCCCCTGTAGGGGCAAGAGAGCGCGCGCGAGCGGCCCCGAGGTGCGCGGCCTGCCGCGCCGAGCGCTGCGGTGCGGTGCGGTGCGGGTGCGGCGGCCTACAGGGCGGCCGGCCGCTGCCCCGCGGCGCCGCCCCGAAGGCCGTGCACAGGGACGTCACGGAAGGGCCCATGGGATATAAATAGACACAGGCAACCGGATTCCGCACACTTGCCGATGATTTCTGGGTTTTCCTCCTCCCCCTCCTCCTCCTCCTCCTCCTTCTTATTATTCTTCTCTGTCTTCTTCTTCTTCTTCTTCGTCTTCTTATTATTATTCTGCTTCTTCTTCTTCTAATTATTATGATTATTATGATTATTAATATTATTATTATTCTCCTCCTCCTCCAACTCCTCCTCCCTCCTCCTCCCTCCTCCTCTCTCCTCCCTCCTCTCCCTCCTCCTCCTCCTCCTCCTCCTCCTCCTCCTCCTCCTCCTCCTCCTCCTCCTCCTCCTCCTCCTCCTGCTCCTCCCCCCCCCACTGAAGGGGCCCTGGGACACGCAAATTCGCCGGCCCCACGGGCCAGAGGTCACCAAAAAGCCCCCAAGGGGCCACAAAGAGGGCTCCAGGGCCGACGCAGGGAGCGAAACGATTAAGCAAATAATCACAGCTAACCGGATTCCCCACATGTTCCGATGTTTTGCATGTGTTCGTCATTGTTAATAGTTTCCCATAATTTCCTGGGAATCGACGATGAATTGTGTCCGTGTGCGTTTTTTTCCCCTCCTGAGTCACTCTGGTCCAGGGCCACTCGTACGCGTAGCCGACCTAAACCTTCGGTCGGGCATGCCCTCCGAGGAAAGCTCAAGCATAGTCACAACATACTTAACATGATCAAGACATAATCAACAAACATCGTCCCCAGACTACGTGGACTATTTTTGCAGATTCCTCCTGTAATTAGAGGGACATGCCCGACTTAAGACCTAAACCCCAGCGGCGCCGATCTCAAACCCCACCCTGGCGTAACGGCACCCTCACTGCCTGCCAGACCACCCCCACCCAACCCGAGGGCCCGAATCAGACCCGACCCTCGGGCCGAGGGGGTACGAGCTTCCTATGTGTTGCTTCAATGCTTCCCGACACCCCCCCCACTGGAAATGAAGGGGACCTTCGGGTTGGGTTGGGGTGGTTTGGTGGGCAGTGACACCCGCGGTGATCGCCGTCCTGCGCCCACGGCCGCGCGCAGGACCTGCACGGCCTCGGGTGCCTCCACGTATGCCAGCTTCCGGGGCGGCGGGATCTGCACGTAGGTCGGGCGTGTCCCCCTACATGCGGACTGGGGACGGAAAATTGGAATACCCAGGAAATACTCAAAGGGAGCGAAAACTAGTCAAAAAAATATCGTCCCCTGACTTACAGAAAAAGAACAATGGAGTTCCCCCCTGTAAAAGGACATGCCCGCCTTAAATCTACACTCGGGGACGTAGGACTCGGGTACGGGGAACTCGGGTTGGCCTGACGTGGCCATCATGAAAACGACGAGACCCAATCTGAAACTTGACGTGAACTCCCGCTGCAGACGTCCCACAAAAGCTGGACCGTCAGAATCCAGGGTGCGCTCGTCAAAAAAGGTCGGCAAACCCAAGTTCTGGCTTACTCTAGTCTTTCGTTTCCCCGATATACCTGTCCACTGCCCCTGGCCCGTGGCCGTGCCCGTCAGGGAGCCAGGAGCGGTGTGTGCATGCTGTCTTGGCCAGGCCAGGAGGGCGCGTGCACCGGTCGTGGGCCCAGGATGAGCCTGGCCAGGGGCAGTG